ATTTTGTAAATAAAAGAATCACCTGCACCTATAAAATATTTTGTTTTGCAAACTTCCATCTACTAGATGTAGATCTAGTACATGCCAAATATAAAATGATGCCAATCAATTATGCTGATGAGATACCTACATTGCTGAATGTTTTGAAAAATTAAATGTTCATTTTATTTGTCCTAAAATATTACAACATTTTCGCATTTTAGATGTCTTAGTTGACTTAAATTGTTAGAGCAAACAGTCAAGTGTACAAATGCCTTAATCTCTCTCCTTATAAAATTAAAAACCAATATCTATAAGTCAAGAGTTTCTGATTCAAAAGAATTCTAGCTTTGCTTTTGATACATATTAAAAAAATATATATTGACATTTTATTTACCAGCCTCTGGTGTGTGTGTGTGTGTGTTTTAATGGACACACTATTAAAATATGCTTCAAAATTGCAATGCCCTGTGTAATCATAAAGAGAAAAAAGTATATGCCTTTAGAAAAAACACCAAAGTATTTTTTTCCTAATATTATTTTTTTTCAAAATTCAAAGAAAAGTCCAAGTCTTAAGTAAATGCTGATGCTGCTTTTGTCTTCACTATATAGTTTTTAAAAATTCTGACTAGCATCTAACATAGTTCTTGAGGCATAAATATTTGCTGAGTGAATGAATGTAAACACTCGCAAATCTCACCTATTAAAAAGGTGAAATTTTTTTAAATTAAAATATTAAATGATTTACCTGTTACTTTTTATGATGTTCATTTTCATTCTGTACAGAAGGTGGAGCCAAAGACATATTTATCCACTGGCTGGAATTCTTTCCCATTGGACAAAACAAAACAAAACAAAATTTTCTCTTGACACCTACTTATTTGTGTGTAGCTTCAATATTAAGATTCACTTGGTGATATATGTGAACTACAAAACTTACAAATTTTGCATCAGCCTTTGATCTTTAAATTTCTCTCAAGGACAATAGAACACTAAATAAATGGGAAGTAAGTTTCATTTAAAAGAATACTCTTGCGTTACAAAGTAAATTGGTCCATCCAAGAAATACATCCACTGATAGTTTTCTAGCACAGTCAGCAATAGGATGGGAAATCTTTACTATGCTGAAGGAAATATGGTTGATCAACAAACAGGTTGACAACATACTTTCTGTTTTTATCACTTTAGGAAGAATATTTCTAAACCTGCATGCTACTGAGGTCTAAATAAACTTTTTCTGCTTCCAAACTATAAGTTAGATTTAGATAAAAAGGAAATTTGGTGAATAGAAAGGATTATTCTCATGCTAATGAAAGGAAATCCACCAAACAATCTTAATTCATTACAAAATCATCTGAGACACTCCCAGTTTTAGATAAGCTTTTTAGGGTATTATGCAGTTGCCTTTGAATTTCTCCCAGAAGTATAATAAATTTTTCTCAACTTACTCTTTTGAGTTATCTGAGAACCATGCCTACTTTATTTGAAAAGTTATTTTCAATGCCCATAGTCTCTACTGCAAAGCATTTTTTTTTCTTTAAAATATTCACTCACATTTAAAAAAAAAAATACCTATCCTCTTTTCAAAGACTCCCCCAGCACTCAGGTGATAGTTACCCTTCGTACAAGCTCACTTATAGCCATTTTGTATACCCTTCCTTCTCCCAGATTCTGCCTTGCCTCTCTTCCTATTCATTTTCTTTGCCTGCCTTAAATGAGGCAATCTACAAAGGCTAAAGGTAAGTGTGTGTGCTGTTTTTGGGGGACACTAGCTACATCCCATCTCTTTATAATCACATCTGTACCTGTGGTTTCAAATATCAATTCTATGAATATAGTCCCAATTTTTTAAAGCAATTTTAACCTCAATCCATGTTTTAAATGATCAGTTATCTATTTTTTACCTAGATATTAAAGTTCTACATATCAAAATATTCCAAATTGAAATTGTTATATAAATCTTTCAGCACATCATTTCCTCTGTTGGACTTCCTTTTTCATGTGAGTAACATTTTCCCAATCAAAACACTAAAATCAGTTTCCACACTTTCTTTCCCTTGTCTTCCCCATTCAATTTGTCATCAAGTTCTGAGAATCCTAACTTCTTTTCCTCTCTTACTCTTAGGACCTATGCCAGGTTCTTATACTCATGCTTCTGCAGTGTACAGCAGTCTCCTTACCTATTCCCCATCTAAAATTGTCAATTATTTTTGAATGTTATACTACTCATTGAACAGAGAGTAACCCAGCAGAGTTTGTGTGAGATAGGCACAGAAAGCCCTAAAAATTAATTCACTGATTTCTTAAGATTCCAGAAACTGGTATTGGAAATTTGGAAATAAAGGTAAAAATCCAAAAAGGCAGTTGGTTCTCATATTGAGAAATACTTCTGATAGTTCTGAAAAAATTCTATTCATCACTGGGCCAACAATGTGTATATCTCAATGCACAGAGCAATGTGGGTAAAACAGACTGTAAGACCTGACTCATAGTGGTCTTAACCCTGAAGGTGACAGAAACTTAAATGACTGACCTTCCGAGCAGTGCTGCCTGACTAGCAAATCAGGCTATATTCATTTCTTCTGCATAGATAAGACCTGGCAATCAGAGAAGCTACGATTCTGGGAAATCAGTGTTTATATTAACAAAATAGCATTCCATTCCTGAGGACATGAGAAAAACACATTAAAAATTTTTATCCCACTATTTTTACAAAACATTCTGCTGGAGATAAGTTTTTAAGGTCAGTTAAGTGGGATTCTTTATAAAAAGTACATTGTTGGTCAAAATATAATTCATCAGTATTACTAGAGTACGAGGTATAATAGGAATTACTATTAGGCATTTGAGAAAGCTTCTAGGTATCCATGAAAGACAGCTAAGTTATATTCTAATGAGGGTACCTTTCACAATAGACTAGCTCCTCCTAGCATTATTACCATGCTACCATATTTGGGGGGCATTTTCTAAAAGAAAAGATCATGAGAAAATCATTATAGAAATAGAAGGCATAGTACTTTCTATATGTTAAGTGAACTGATTATTTAATTAGTGACTCATACTATTCCCTTTGGCTTAGAAAATGGTTCTAGTGATATCCATGAATAACTTAATTTGGCATAAAGAATTTCATTAGTTCTATTTTTAATTGGTCATATAGGCAATGGACTAAACAAAGAAAAGGCAGTCAAATACATAGACACCAACAACGTTGTACAGACATAACAAAAGATAACTGGAAATAAACATAATTTTTTGCTGTAAAACCTTGGTATAGAATTAGTTAATTGCAAATTTTCTTTCATGCAACTAATTCTAAATTAACATTTTAGGAAATCTTTTGAATTAAATAAGTTCATCAATAATTGTCTTTGATAAATCATTTTACAAATGTCAACCAAATAGTTACATAAATGAGCTGAAGCAGGGATTTCTCCTTTTTTAAAAAGCAGGAGGAACAGATTTTTCTCATAGAAATATACATTTTTAAGAATGTGTTCTGAATTTAATGAAATGATTTTTAGTTAGGACAAAACAATGAACTCATGTGAGGAAAAGGATTATATAAATACAAACCAAAACAACACTTATGTGTTGGTGAGCTTAAGGATTTGAAAGTCAGATTGTTAGGGGGAAAGGGGCTGCCCTATAATAAGATTACAACTTCTATTTATTTTTTCCTGTTCTTTAAATGAAAGGAAAACATACTCTTGGATTGTATAGTCTGTAAACAAGATAGCAAAATCATATCTTAAATTCATAACATTTCAGAAAATGTCTTATTGATCATTTTAGTGACAGTACCTTTAGGAAATTGTATCTACCAGGAAAAATTTGACATCTTTCCTGATATTTGTATTAGTGAGAAAAGGGTAAGGGATATTAAACCTGGATGACTTTTCTTTGCTTCAGGAGAATAATGCCTAAGAGATTTCCCTGACCAACCTCAGGTGCACCACTGAGCCTGATTAGAGGGATTTTTCCTACCTCTGGTATGGCATCTGGCGAGTCCTTAAAGGAGCTGCCCATTCTAAGATTCAGGCCACATGACTCATGTTATAATAAACCCTATTGCAGAGTGCTGAAGAAGGAGGGCAGTGGTAGCTGTAGAAAAGCACATAAAGAATATATGGCAGCAATATGGTCATCAGACAAGAAAACCCTCCAATGGGTTTTAGAGAGATGGCCTCAAGGAAGGTTGATCATTTTGGGATCTACTGAATGTCAGCATCATCCGTGTCTAATTAAAATTATACTGACTTTTCACTACAAAAGAGATTTAATTGCCAGTACATTGGGATGAATGGGGCTGAGATATTATAAAGTTTTAGTTACCCAGAGATTTGGTAGAGGTCAGATATCATTTCAAATCAAAATGTACTATAGAAATACAGTTATAAATACAAATACAGTTTTTGCTAAGCTGAAGAGTAAAAATTCAAAGCAGTCAAGGGGTTGGAAGGTGGGTTCCACTGCACAAAACCACCACATATGTTCTCTTTAAAAATTGTTTGTCTCTCATGCCCACATTTCCTTTGTTAATTGTCCCTACTTAAATTAAGAGGAAAGGAATTGGATCATCAAACAACTTACACCCACCTCAAACTTCACACATCTCGGCCAACATAAAACAAGTTTGCTCTGGCCACACACTTTCCCATCATTCTTATGTACAGTAAAATATATTTTTTTAATTTTAAATAATGTTTGTACTATTATAGAATATACAATTTTTCATTATCCCTGGACTTTGGGGGGAAGCAAGCACTAACTAAAACCAGTCGCTGTTATCTGTAAAAAGTAACTGCAAATAGTGGCATTTCACATCCCTAATACTATTTTCTTTTCCTCTTCAGAAAATTTAAACTAATGCTTTATCTCGACCTTGCTGCTCCTCTTTGCCTCTCTCTCTCTCTGTCTCTCCACCCTTCCACGTTCACCAACCTCCCCCCACTACCCTCCGGGCCTTCCTTTCCCCTCCCCTTAATACTAGCCCCTCCTCCAGTTGAGTCAGTGGCTTGAAACTTTTAAAAGCTCTGTGCTCCAAGTTAGAAAAAAGCTTTTACGAGGTATCAGCACTTTTCTTTCATTAGGGGGTAGGAGTAAAGAAAGTACCAAACAGCAGCAGACTTTTAAACTTTAAATAGACAGGTCTGAGTGCCTGAACTTGCTTCTTCATTTTACTTCGTCTTCTAAGGAGTTCAATCACTTGGCGCGCCTACTACACTTCTTTTAAGAGAAAGAGTAAGTTTAAAAATTTACCTATTCCTCTCTTATTCTACAAGTAAAACTTTTCTAAAGTTTATATTTATTTTAAATGTATCTTGGATAAGATGCTGTGAATGGAAAGAATTTTAATGCTTTTGTGGTTTTAAAGTTAAAAATTAAACTTGTGGAGGTTTTTTTGGCTGTTGAAAAGTTCCTGTTAATGCAACAGGTAAAGTAAGGTTTGGACCTTTTCGATTAAAATAAAGAACTACTTAGAATAAAGAACTAGATTACTGGATATTTGGTTCTTCATTTTAGTGTACATTTTTACTTTTTTTGTAATCAGATGTAGTTTAGGTACTTTGTAAAACTTGTTGAAGGGTTTAGGGGCCTATGTTGAGGATTTGACTGACAACTTCACAAAAATCAAAGTGCAAATTTGCTTAGCGTGCTAGCTATAGAATTCTACACTTTGTGCTTTTTCATATGGAAATCTTGATTGATGTTCTATAGCCTCGCAAAACAAACTTCTTAACAAAGTGCTTTGTTAAGACCTGTGGTTACTTGACTTCCACGTGGTGCCTTCCTAGAATTTTTTTCAGTAAAACAAAAAGGTATTAAAAATCAGAGTTTTAATACCGAAGCTTTAAAAGTAACAGTAGATAGTTACACTGTGTAGCAACCATGATGGAAAAAAGCTCAGACCCTCAAGAGAGCCACCTTTTACTCACCACGTCGGCACTTCAGGAGACGAAATCCCTTGAATGGGTGGTGGCCACTTACAGAGTTTTAGAGGCGGAGAACATACATTTAGAAAAGAGTGTTAAGGCAGGGTTCATTTCCAAAACTGTCTCCTAGAATGGGAGCTCCTAGAAAGAATGTGAACGTATCGTCTTAAACTGCGCCTTACAGGGAGTTACACCCCCAACCCCCACCCCAGCCTGAAGACTGTCCGAACCTGTGACAGACTTCACAGCTCTAGGGCAGTTTTCGAGTTGAAGCTGCCAGAGTGCTGCCGATAAGCAAAGATTGCACTGATTTTTTTTTTTTTAAGTGCATTTCTTAAATACACTTAATTGGTAGCAAACATTCTGACAATCCGAAATGCAATCATGCATTTTCGTGGCCGGTGAGGATTTTCTCTGTTCTAATTCCACAAACTCAAGTAATTTGTTTAAATTCTTGGTGTGACCCTGCAGTTTGAAGTATTTACACAACAGAATGCTGAAAAGGAGATAAAAACGAACGCTTTGCGGGGGCCGGAGCGGGCGAGGGCGCCTCCTGCCATCTTAGCCTCTGCCCAGTTCACCCGGGCTCTGGCGCTGCCCTAGTCGCTGGGTTTGGAGAAGTTTGCTAAGATGTTTTCCTTCAAATCCTTACAAATCAGAGCACAGGTCCGAGTTCCGCCGCTGAAAAGGAAGGGGAGGAGGCGCGGGCAGAGAGGGGTGGGAAGATAAACTGCGTGCAAAGTGGTAAAAAGGAACAAATAATTAATTTAATTAAGCTTGTCAATCTAATTTCCCCTCCCTCTCTTCCCATCCACAGTGTCTTTTTTTTTTTTTTTTTCCCCTCCTACACTTGTTGACTCCTACTGCATAAGTTTTGGTGAGGAAACCTGAGTACCTTGGGAATTACTGTTCTTAAATTGCACTTGTAGCTCTCCGGGAAGTTCTTGAAAGTTCCCAAGATGAGCCTGGGGAACCCCACAATAAAATGAGAAAAAAGCTAATGACATGACGTGTCCAGAGACAAATCAGCACAGGATTCGGGAACTCAAACTTTGAGTTCCAAGCAGCGGATCGCCCACATTCTAGACTAAATGTTAATTGAGCATCTCTGAGGAAAGCTTATCCACAGACTCTCCTTGACCAATTGCTTACTCCCTCTTCACTTAAAGGCATGCCTGTGTTTCTTTCTAGAAGTGCAAAATGGGGATGGGAGGAGCTGTAAACGCTTGGAAAAATGCACCTAGCTTAATCTGGAGGTGGTTTTAATTTCTTTTGCTTCCCAGAATTAAGTCAGTAAGAGAAGAAAGATGCTGAATCTCTCCCGGAAATTGGGTGCACTTGAAGCAAGTTAGATGTGTTTTGTGGCAGTTTTTAAATCGATTCTGAGGTTTTTAAGAAGCCGAATATTTACTTCTATGCATGGACTTGTGAAAATAAGTAATGCAATAATGCAGAGATGATCCTGTAAAGTAACTCCACCCTGCCCACCACCCCCCATGAAGTAAACCAGTTAGATAGAAAATAACTTGGGGAAGAGTGATTAATTCTTCTAGGTAGGCCCAGCGATTGAAAATTATATGAGTGGCAGTATGTTCTGTTTGGCTCTGTGTCCACTTGAATGCCACTGGAACGTGTCTTTCCAAAGTATGATGCTTTGTAGGTACGTCAGTATAGAGATACCACCTATCCTTCCCCAGGGAAGTGTAATATTAGTGCTTTGTTTGTACTTTCTTTGCTGTTTGAAAGTATTCCACATTTTTCTAATACCTTTTATAGCTAGCGTATCATCACAGCTCAGTTCCTTACCTTTTACAGTGTGATTCCTACTTTGCTGACCCTCTCTGGAAACAGTTCAAAAGCTCATCTGCAGCAAGCATCTAAGGGTGTGTTTTCAGATGCTGAGAGTTGTTTTTGTTTTTTAGATGTTTCCGACTCTTGCATTGAAAGGAATGGAAAACTCTTGATAACACTACATTCCTTCATTTCTTTTATAATACCCAGAGATGTAGCTTAGTATGAGCTGCAGAGCTTTTTTATATAGGATACCCGAGGGAAGAGAATGATAGGAAAGTCACCAATGATTAATACCTTCTACTCCACCTTTCCTGTTATTCTGAGTTCCCTTCAAGTTTCTCCCTTGTCTGAACAGACTGTTGAAGTTTGCCCACTCCAACACCAGTTCAGCTCTGGAGAGAAAAGTAATTATCTAGTATTTATCATTAATGTCAGTATTTAATATAAATCATTCATTCTAAAAATACTCAGTTTCTCCTCTTCCATGGGAGGTTTTATATGTATTCATACATATACACATAGAGACGTGCGCACGCACACACACACGCATATACATCCTTGCAATAATTACCTAATTTTCTTACTGCCTTTCAGATCTACCATCTGACTGTTTGGTTTTGAATGCACAGACTGTCTTGCCAAAATTAAAATACAGACCATGAATGTGTATATGACTTTGACCTTAAATATCTTCGTAATCTTAACATCTATATTTCCCTGGCTTTCTATAAAATACATGTTATATGGAATGCTTAAAATTCTCAGTAATATAGAAATTGGGTTTTTTTTCACCTTTTCAGTAATCTGTTCTATATAGGATATTGTGTTTTCCCATTATGTGGAGGAGACACCTCCAAATAGGAGCACAAAGACAGGCACATTTTTGGTGGACTTATTTCCCTATCAATTGGTAAAAGGTAAATTCTTCTCATAAGTCTGCATGGGTTTGCTAAAATAGCAATATTGTACTCTTTGTGGGAGCATCTTGAAACTAGTCTTGATTATCATTAGGAAAATTTAATCACTAATTAATAGCTATTTTGCTAAAGAAAAGATGCCAAAATTAGAAAATAAATGAGCTGCATCTATAGGGAAAGATCTTAAGAGTAATAGCTAAACTCTGTTCCACTGCTTTTACTACAAACTTCATTTACGTGAGTTCTCACATTCAATGCTCATTAAAGAAAATAGACCACTCCTTATCAATACTTATGAGATGCCTAATTGTGTGTTTATATATTGATGAAATTATAGAGATGTTCAATAAAATAGTAAATTTGGAGGTAAGGATGAGAGGGAAACACCAAGAACTGATGAAAACAATATTTTTCAAAATCCATCAGATCATAAATGAAAGAACACGGCTTGTAGCCTTTAACTTCTGACTAAGCTCCTTCCCCTCCCTCCTGCCCACCCCAACACATCCCCAAAGTGACCAGGAGAAATTTGTCACAGGAATTAAGCGATGGTTGTTCAAGTAGGGAGGGGATCCTCTCTTATAGTTAGTCATCATCTTCTTTTTTGGATGGAGTCCCTCACCCCTCAGTGCCCCCATGGAGTCCCTCACCCCCAGTGCCCCATCTCATTTCATTGCTCTATGGAGGCTGATGTTGGCTAACTATGTGAAAGAAGAGTGAGAGCCAAGAAAGGCTTGTTAGTGTGGAATTTCCTCCCCCTTACCCCCCTCACCCCCATGCAGTTTAATGCCACATATCAAACACCTGCAGAAATATAATGGTATCTTTCTTCACAAAGGAATCTAAAGATAATCAGAGAAGCATGGGCAGAATTTTAAATAGATGTTTACATGGAATAGACCACAGAGTTAGGGTGACTATCCAGGTATGAGGAAGAAGAGATTGTATATAATAATGAGGAACTGGGAATATTTTCTATGATATTTGATTCAAATCACTTAATTGCCTGCATAGACTCAATCTTTATAGGGATGTTTTATTAAATAGGGTTAATATCGGCTGCTGCTCTTCCCCATCAGAGCCCTTGCCCTCTCCCACATTTATTTTTTTTATTTTTTTATTTTTTTTTTAGAGGCATGTTTTTTATTTATTTATTTGTTTGTTTGTTTGTTTATACATGCACTGGGTATGGTCAGAAGCGCGGGAGGGTGAGAGAATTCACCAGAGCCAGAGCGGGGAGCAGAGCAGGCAGAAGGACCCAAGTACACTGCTGAGGGGAGCAGCGGGTGGCAGGAGAGGTCTGCGCGCCATGTGGGACCCTCCTCCGGTGGCCGGGGAGCAGCCGGGGATCGAACTGGCACCACAGAGGCTGCGGGCAGCTTTGCAACCCAGCGCTCAACCTCTGCGCCACCGGGGAGGCCCCCTCTCCCACGTTTAAACAGACTATTTCTTCATGCACTAGAGTTCCCAACGACAATAAAGTCATAGTACTGTCAGGATAATGCTGAATGGGAGAAAAACACAGGTTTTTATTTTTGAATCTTAACCTATAACAACATAATAATAAAACTGAACAAACATAATACCTGATGCACTTCTACAAGACTCCCCAAATCACCATAATTTCATCTGACAAATTAAAGATGTTCTTTGTTAAAGAAACTTTTTTTTCTTGAGTCATTCCTATTGTCTGCTTAGGAATCATTTGAAGCATGATTATCAGAAGCTGTTTCTTGAAAATTTAATAATATAATAAAAATATTGATACTACCACTTATTTTTTTTTAATATGAAAGTCCCCTTTTCAATTAGAAACTTGAGAAGTTTGGATCTAACTACAACTAAGAGAATTTCAAGCATACAGTTAAAGAAAAAACAAAAACTGATGAAACCTGGTCCCTTTGGGGTGGTGGATGGTTACAGGCCCCATTTGGTTTATTCACATATTTTATTCAGCTTCTCTTAACTCTTTATTAATCGTTGGGAGAGTTAAGCAGTGGAAAAACAAACTCCTTCCTGGAGCTCATACTTTAAAGCAGAGAGGGATCCTTATCATCAAGGGAGACAAGCAGTAAGCAGCAAATATACATTTTATCAAAGTATAGCTAAAGGGCATTCAAAAACAAAAAACAGGGCAGGGGAGTAGGAAATGACAGGATTGGAGTGCTGGCTGATGAGATGAGGCAAGTACAGAGACCTAAAAAAGAATTGAGTGAGCAGCTTGGATGGAGCCGAGCTGCTGAGGTCAGGTCAAGGTGGCCAGGAGGAACTTAGGTTGGCTAGACTGACAAAGATCACTGAGGGTGGCTGAAGGATCAGGCTAAGAGAGGGCCTGGTGGTAGGACTGAGTAATAGATCTTTTGGAGTGGATGATCTAGTATTTGCTGATGGATTGATGTGAAATGTGTTAATTATGTGTGGGTATAAGTATTAGCAAAATAGCACAGTGCTGTTTTACGTGTAGAGGCATGGTCACAAATGCACCCCTTCAAAGGCCTATACTACAGGAGTTGGGGCTTCTTAAAAGTTAAAAGCGTTAGAAGAGTTTACATTGTAGTTTTATATTTTAGTTTTTTGGTTTTATATATTAGAAACACATTCATGGCATTTCCTTTTCTCCTACAAAAATTCACTAAATGATTTCATCAGGAATTTTCACAGACATTTTCTTATACATTTTTAGACTTAATGATTTTTGTTTCAAATATTAATGATTTCCATCTTCCCTAAGTGTTTAATTTCAATTATAAAAAGGTGATAGCTATCCAGTCTCTGCCTTCAACCCTTAATTGTTTCTTCTTGGGTAAAATCTTTATAATTGAAAATAAGATATTGTCTAATTCTAGTAATTATTAGGGCATTAATGACATGGAACATCTTAATGCGATATTGGCACATGATTTGTTTTTAAGGCTCTGGCTAAAGGGAGAGTCAAAAGTAATTTAAAATTAAAGTTCTATTTTCTTTTTAAATAGCGATTTTTTTTTTCCTCTTGGGGAGCAGCAGATGGAAGTGCATTGACAAGAAAGGTGGCTGCTCCTCATGCCTCACCCTACAGCCTTTCTAGATATTATATGTCCCTTTCTGCTCTGATCATCTCCTAAATACTTTGAACAAGGGCATACCAAAGATGTCAAGAAATCATTGTGTGTCTCCTGACCTTACTGCAAACTCATCTGGGACACTTCTAAACAAAAAAATAAAAGAAAGAAAAACAAAACAAAAAAAAATGATTTCTCTGCCCCATCCCCAGAAAATCAGATTCATTTAGACTAGTGAGTGCTGGGAATGTGTTTTTAACAAGTGCTGCCGAATGATTGTGTTGCAGTTCAGAAACTTCTGTAAAGGGACTAGAGGGTCTTCAAGCAGGTCATACATGGTTGTCTGTAGTTTTTGGCCTCTGGTGTGGACAGTCATGAAGATCGATGGGAAAATGTGTTCTAACAGTACATAGAAGGCACAAGAAGGATGATAAACATAAGAACCCTGTCAAGCATTTGCTCCTAAAGAGAACTTTACACAACTTAGACCTTAGTCTACATTAAAAAGTTCCAACTTGGGAATCTAGAAGTAACGACATAAATCTACATAATATATGTTCAACACCTGTGGAGGTATATAGTCTGAATCAATGCCAGGAATTCTGTAAGCCTATAATTACGTACTTTCAACTAAGACTTGGAAAAATGAAAATATTAATCAAGAGAGGGGATGCCATTTGGTAGAACTTCTGATACACCGCAGAGTGAACAATCACCCAAATGGGTGAAATCACAAATATTGTAAGTCATCACATTGAACATTATTGATGACCTCTACAATATGCCAATGACAGGTGTCAACAAGTTGCAAGATACTAGGTATCCGATTGAATAATTCATCTTATTTAGATGAAAGAGTAGAACTCATTAATGCAAATGACAACTACTTGGGTGCTTAAAGAAAAGGAACTTTGCAATTAAGCTGCTAATGTATTAATGAAGAACTACTGCCTAGAGAATTGTCCATTGATGCAATTCACATACTGTGGCACTACAGGGTATTTTTGTGGAAACAGGATTATATGAAAGTGAAATTTTATTTTCAATAAGTATCTATATAATCGTATTTTATTTTGAATTATGACTTGCTGACCAAAATGACAACTTCTTTGTGCGCCTGGTCATATTTCTAAACAGATGGAAATTTGTCTTGTGTTCACTCATTGCTTGAATGTGATGAATTTATGCATACAGTTCACCATTTCAATACTTGATTGTTTTTGTTGTCCCCTCTCCCACCCCATAGTTACACAATTGGAGTATCTGAGCAAAAGCAGATGACATTGAAAAGTAATTCTCTACAAACAGAATTAGGGCCAATTTACACATCATCACATAGAAACTGCCTATTTATATAACTCCAAAAACAGTTATGTTTGTTTGACCCTCATGGATTATACTTCTTCATGCCAATGTAGTATTTTCTGCTAAATTGTAGCTTTTTCTTTTACCTTCTCTTATCATCAAACTGTCCATCAAGACTCAATTGCTCCTTCTTTCCCTTGCCTAACTTAGTCAACTCTTCAAGCTTTTTTCTCATTTGACTGCTCTTTTCATACATCAGTTTCACTGTCTAACTTGTTACTTGTCACTTCAGAATCTAAAATGGCCCTTCCTAAATGTAGAAGGGAAGCTCCCTTTTTTATGACCTCTGAGAGAGCATTATTTCTGTGACCTGCCAATCCACCTCCTTCTTACTCTTACACAAGCATTCTTTAGCACCAGTCTTGAGCTGTCATCAAAGAGACCGATTAGGTGGTTATCTAGAGAGCTGGTGCTTACCTCAGCTTTATGGATCGTCCATCTCTGTTCATCTAGAAAATCTCTGGCTTTTTGAAATTTTCTTTTCTGGACTCTGTAGACAGGAGGTAAAGTCATTAGACAAAAATGTGATGTTGCATGGTAGAGGAAAAAAAGACTCCCTGATTTCATTTACTTTTAATAAGGATAATACAGTTCGATACCAGATGAAAAAAGTTCTTTATATTCAGATAGTAAATATCTTTCTAAGAAGCCTGCATGAGTCCACTTTTAGTTATACTACTTAAAATTCATTTCTTAACTCCTAGGAAGTCTTTGCTTAGCTTGTTTTTTAATTATTAAATAATCTTGACTGCTTCATCTTTTTTAAAAACACTCCAATTATGAGTCTCTGCAGATAATCTGACTATATTATCTATGCCTGCCTCATGTTATGTTATTCATTTCTTCCCAGCTTTCAACCTTGCTGAAATTGTATGTATGAAAGACTGGAAACAATTCAGTACAATGCGTTAGAAAACCTTGGCCTTGGGATTGCTCATCTTCATTTGGCTCTCCTTGATAGCTGAATATTTCCTATAACTAAGACCTTGATTTGCATCAGTTAGGACTATTCGCAAAGAGAAACATAAACTGAACTAGATAAATAATTTTGGGGTCCCGACATCTCTACAGACTTGAATCTTTTTTCTTATCCCCAGTAATGGGGAGGTCTTATTAGGCTTGAAATATTTTGGTACTGATAGGAAATTAAATTGAGTATATAGACTGAGTGCCCAAAGGCCAGTAAGAGATCGTAAAAACAATTAAAAGATGAAAACCAACCCTGCTAGAGACAACACTTAAAGTCATCTTTTACTTGAAATGTTATGTACATTTAGTATTGAAAGTAGGTTCTTGCATAGAATGACATTGAGCCAAAATGGTGTATTTCAGTACAACACTTTTTCTCTGAGCAAAAGACAGAATTGTGAGTCACATAAAAATCATTCTTTGAGAAGAAACAGTATAAATGACCATTATGTAGCATATGCGCAAATTACCCTTGAAATACCAAGGGAAACATTTCAGAGCACAATTAGGAATAAAGTTCTAGAAAATAAGATTGAGGTTTGAAAACAGGTTGTATCTGTGTACATGTGTTTGTGTGTTCATAGGTACTGGTATGGTTATTGCCTCGATTCTTAGATACCCATGCTTATTAAATACCACACATCAGCATTTTGCTTAGGCATGCATCCTCACACAGACCTACCAAGCAACAACTGTCTTTGCTTATCAGATAAAGTAAGCAGAGGCATTTAACACAGCTTCTCAAGTCATGTGGCTGAGGCAGTGATTGAGCAAGAAATACACCTTCACAAGTGAAGATTGCACACAGACTCTGTTGCTTCTGAGATCTACTGTACCTACAAAAATTTAGGAGATCTCTTGGTAAAGGGAATGCAGAATGAGTGGGACAGGAAGAGTGCTAAAAGATATGAAACCTTTTATAATATTTTGACTGTTGACCTAAAGAAACTACATATTAAAGTAATAACTTGCAGTCTATGATTATTTTGTTATCTTTTTGTTTCTTTTCAGGCTTCACCCAGGCAACATGGGTGACTGGAGTGCCTTAGGCAAACTCCTTGACAAGGTTCAAGCCTACTCCACCGCAGGAGGGAAGGTGTGGCTCTCGGTTCTTTTCATTTTCCGAATCTTGCTCCTGGGGACAGCTGTTGAGTCAGCCTGGGGTGACGAGCAGTCTGCCTTTCGTTGTAACACTCAACAACCTGGCTGTGAAAATGTCTGCTACGACAAGTCCTTCCCGATCTCTCATGTGCGCTTCTGGGTCCTGCAGATCATATTTGTGTCTGTCCCCACACTCTTGTACCTGGCTCATGTGTTCTATGTGATGCGAAAGGAAGAGAAACTGAACAAGAAAGAGGAGGAACTCAAAGTTGCCCAAACTGATGGTGTCAATGTAGAGATGCACTTGAAGCAGATTGAAATAAAGAAGTTCAAATATGGAATTGAAGAGCATGGCAAGGTGAAAATGCGCGGTGGCTTGCTGCGAACCTACATCATCAGTATCCTCTTCAAGTCAGTCTTCGAGGTGGCCTTCCTGCTGATCCAGTGGTACATCTATGGATTCAGCTTAAGTGCTGTTTACACTTGCAAAAGAGACCCCTGCCCACACCAGGTAGACTGCTTCCTCTCTCGCCCCACAGAAAAAACCATATTCATCATCTTCATGCTGGTAGTGTCCTTGGTGTCTCTTGCCTTGAATATCATTGAACTTTTCTACGTCTTCTTCAAGGGTGTTAAGGATCGAGTGAAGGGAAAGAGTGATATTTACCATGCTACCACTGGCCCACTGAGCCCCTCCAAAGACCTTGGATCTCCAAAATATGCTTATTTCAACGGCTGCTCCTCACCCACTGCTCCCCTATCGCCCATGTCTCCTCCTGGGTACAAACTGGTCACTGGAGACAGAAACAATTCTTCTATCCGCAATTACAACAAGCAAGCAAGTGAGCAAAACTGGGCTAATTATAGTGCAGAGCAAAATCGAATGGGGCAGGCAGGAAGCACCATCTCTAACTCCCACGCACAGCCTTTTGATTTTCCTGATGATAACCAGAATTCTAAAAAGCTAGCAGCTGGGCATGAACTGCAACCACTGGCCATCGTGGACCAGCGGCCTTCCAGCAGAGCCAGCAGTCGAGCCAGCAGCCGCCCTCGACCTGATGACCTAGAGATCTAGATCCGGGCTCGAGAGCATCGAGATTCCACTCAATTGTGGAGAAGAAAAAGGGTGCTGTAGAAAGTGCACCTTTAGGTGTTCATTTTGTTCCAGTGGAGGTGGTACTCACAGCCTTCATCATAAGGCTTAGAAAACACAAAGACATTAGAATACCTGGGTTCTTTGGGGGTGTTTGGCATAGGTGGGTGGAGGGGGGCAGGGAGAAGGGAGGTACATTTTGATATTTAACGTAGGTCATTCAAAGAATTTAAGTTCTAAATAAGTTACATTAGGTGATACATAGGTAAGGGCTTTCACTCTCCCACACTCCCCTAAGAATAGTTCTGTGTTTGTGAAAGAGTGGGTGAGACTTGTGGCTAAATCCTTCTTGTTTTACCAAGAAACTGAAATAACTTAGGCCAGGAAATAATACTTCCTGAACATCCTATTTCTTTTCATCAAGAAAAAGATGGAGAATTGTCCTTACATCCCTGCTACAACATTCCATTGTTAGAATTTGCACTTTGAAGGTAAGCTCTCTAGCCCTGACCCTCCAGGTATCAATGGACTTGTGCTACTATTTGTTTTTATTCTTGGTATCAGCTAAAAGTTCAGACAAGGCCCACAGAAAAAGACTTTCCATGCATTTGCAAATCTCAGCCAGTTGTATGTACATTTTTTTAACATCCACTTGCATCATATTATTACCATCACTTTTTCATCATTCCTCAACTACTATTTACATTCATTTAATGGTTCCTATAAATATTTTTTAAATGGTTGGGATGTCACTTAATATTTTTGAGTTAGAGTCAGGGAAGCAAGCCATGCTCAATATTTAACAATCACTTATATGTGTATGTGTGTGGAAGAGTGTTTTATTCGTCATATTGGTACAAGTAGATGCAGCATAAACTCACAAACACAGATTTGAAAATAATGCACACTTTGTGTTCAAATTTGAACCTTTCTCATGGATTTTGTGGTGTGGGCCAATAAACGGTGTTTACATTATGTAATTCCTGCTGTGCAAGTAAAGCACATTTTTTTTTTCTTAAAATGTACCCTGCCCCCCATGTATCCTATTATGGATACAGGTTTTATTATGATTTTTTTTCTTTTTTTTTTTTTTTAGAATATAGCAGCAAGGCTATTGCTGAAATGAATGATTTTCTTTTTTTCCTGAAATGTAATCATTGATGCTTGAATGATAGAATTTTAGTACTGTAAACAGGCTTTAGTAATTAATGTGAGACATAGAAGAAAAGCTTAGAGTGGACTATTACATGTGCCTAAATGAATTTTGCAGTAATTGGTATTCTTGGTTTTGTCCTACTTAATACACATTAATTCAGAATTTGTATTCTCTTATGAGTTTGACAGTCTTGGAGTGACCAGCAACTTTGATGTTTGCACTAAGATTTTATTTGGAATGCAAGAGAGGTTAAAGAGGTTTCAGTAGTACACATGTAACTAATTTATTTGAAATATATGCTAAAGAAATCTACCAGTTTCTTCAAATGCCTTTTTAAAACTCATCACAGATGATTAGTAAAAATGCAGAGTGTCATATTTTCCTTCTTGCATGTCAGCTACATAAACGGTTTTGTACAATGAGAAATATTAATTTGCTTGACATTCCATGTTAAACTACTGTCATGTTCAGCTTCATTGCATGTAATGTAGACCTAGTCCATCAGATCATGCATTTTGGAGAGTGTACTTTATTCAATAAAGTTTTAATTTAGTATAAAGATAGCCTCTCTATTCTGTGTGATTTTTAAAACTTATATTGCAACTAGTCACAAAGACATTTACACTGGTTATGAGGATTTGGGCAAATAAGATTCAGGAATTTTTAAGGGACAAAGGTACCATTGGTTAGGTTCAGTGCAATGTTGATAAAATTTTTTGATATTTCTCCAACGGATCAGAAAATATAGCAAATAAGTGTTGAATTTGGAACAGAATTTTAATGAGATGTGTGACAAGAGTTTGAAATAAGGTAATAAGTAATTTAATGAGTTGACCTTACCATGACATAAATAAGCATAAAAAGATTAAGAATGCTGAAATCTTAAGCTATAGAGCATCCTGGAGATAAAAGAATGGGCAGTGTCAAAGTGTTGTTTTGCTTTGTGACAAAAGAACAAAATTGATCTAGGATTCTATTCCAAGATTATGAAAATACACATTAAAATAAGATTTAAAACATTCTTAACATCCGAGAAAATTTGAAACATTCAAAGAACAATCTTGGTTGATTAATAATGCAATAATTTCAAATATAAAATGCATTAAGATTTTTAAAGTCAGATTTGATTTAATAAAATTGTTTATGTAAATATTTACTACAAAGCAAATTTAGATAACTAAAGTGTAAAAATCTTTCTAATTTAGAAAAGACAGTCCAATTCTACGATTTCATTCAATGTAAAAAAGTTAAGAGATTTGCCTAAAGTTCAAAGGATTATCTAATAACCAGTTTCCTGGTTAATATAATTAGTCGTGTCAACATTTCTTCAATATTGTCATTGAGCTGAAGAGACAAGTTTTCTTTCCATTTATGTGTTTGTTGGCATTTACAATTCCGAATAGTCTGATATTTTAGTGTATGTGTCAGTGTATCCTACATTAGTAGGGATCTTAACGTGTGAATAGACGAATCATTAGACTGTTGAATTTGAAGTGCTTGTGGGGGGACCCCAAGGTTAAGGAGGCTTATAGAAGTTTTAAAAAGGATGTTCCATTCTTTATTTTGCTGTCTTAAAATTAAATTGAGCTGTTAAAAATGACAAAATCATGCAGCTTCATTCCACAAATATTTATTGAATGCTCAATTTTTACATAAAAATCAGACAATTTTGACTTCTAGAAGTAATAGAGCTTTCTGTGGTAGTGGAAATATTTTATTCTGATCACCGTGGTAACAATTAGCTTCATGCAGCTAGTGAGCACTTCAGGCTCCTGAGTCTCAAAAAATTATTTTAATGTAAATTTTAATTAAATAGCCATGTGTTTTACTGTATTGAGCAATGCTGTTCTAGAGTCTGCTGGGGGAGAAAAATTTAATAATTGCAAAAATACGATCATGGAAGAAATAGGGAGGAATAGGGAAAAGAAACTTCAAGGTCCTTTTTATAATCTTATAAAAGGCCAGTGCCCTTATTTGGTTCAGTACATTAGCACCCTGACTCCTGTAGGTCTTAATTAAGCTTCCAAGCCACAGGCTGTTCTTTTACCTAATTTTGAGAAAATTGCGGAACCTCAACCTGCCCAGGGTGCTAGTTCCCTGCCCACACACTGCCTCTCCTAAAAATTCCAAAGGTCAAATTCCAACATGCCAAAACATCTGTGCTTTGTACTTGGAGGGAGAGCAAAATAATGAAGTTTGGGGGCTTATTAAAGTCTTAAAGTGAGTTCTTTTTATAAACAGCACAGTAACAGTGTGGAAACATGTTTATAATCTTTAATGGCTATGAGATTCTGTTGTTACCTTTTCTTGGTTGGGCAAATATAGTTGAGCCCTTGGCATGTCAGAATTTGCAGCTGGCAATTTTCAGAATTCAAGAGCAGACCTGGAACAAACACTATAGAAACACCGCTGCAAGAATACTAGAGTAAGAAGGGTACTGTTTAAAGAAGAAAGCTAATTTGGAAGAAAAAAACCTTCCATTTGTTTCCTGGTCTTCAAAAGTGTTGAAATTTAAAGTCACATTATGTCTTCTGGTCTCCGAATGTTTCTTTTAAACAACCAAATGCTTATTTGGGCTATGACGTGTAGAGTAATTTCAGTGCCCACACACTTTCCTGCTGAATATGAAAACTCTCAAGGAGGCACCTACTTTAGAAAGCAAACCCTGAGTCCACTTTAGATAGCGAATTATGGACCCACGTCTTATTAAATGCAAACAATCTAGTGCTGTGCAATATGGGAATTAAGTGGACCCAGGTCTGATATTTGTACTGGAATCACTTGTCAGTAGTTATTCTTTTTAAGACTGTCCATCAGAATTACTATGGACAGTAAGATAGATTTATGTTGCTACAGTAGCAAATACTATGACAATTATTTTATTTTAAAAGTAAAAGAGAAAGGTGAGCTTGTTTTCTTCCTTGATAAGTTTCAGAATTACATATTTCAGATATTCAGGATCTTTAATAATACTGGACATAGTTAACTAATTTAAAAATTCTTCCTGACAAAAAGTTAAACTAACCTAAGGCTGAGCTCTGAGAAAATGACTTAAATTAAGATTAACTAAAAATATCTAAAAGGACAAAATGACATTTGTTCCAACAGGACTTGAAGCCTCAATTCCAGCCAGAGTCACAGAGTCTAAACAGGTCATTGCCTTTGAAGACTTAGATGTGAGTGTGGCTTTAGTTCAAGTTTTCTTCAACTCAGAGACACTGGAATTAAATTGACCATTAAAATTCTCTGGTACAGTAATTTCTAATCATCCAAGTTGCTCATTCTATAAAGACTTAGGTAAAGATAGACACAACCAGAGAACTAATTAAAAATATTTGTTCTGAGAAAATTTTTCATATTTTGGCCAAATTGGTCAATGATTGCCTTTATGGATGGATACTGGTACTTTAAAAATATTAAGGTGACATACTTTACATTCATGAGACCCAAATATCAGTGAGATTGAAGTAATTTTAAATTAAATGTAACTACTTCCAGCATACTGTCACCTATTATTCAATGTAAAACTATAACAGATTTATTTATTACATTTTCTGTATACTTGAAAGTCTGTTTATTTATGATTTATAATTAAGAATAAAAAGTAGCAGCAGATAAACCACATTTTAACATGACTGAGGTTATTTTCTTCAGCTTAGAACTTTCAATCATATTTCTTCTGTTTTCACATTAGTTTCTTTAGTCTTAACCTCTCACCAGAATTTTCTGACTTGAGACACACACACACACACACACACACACACCCCTTTCAGGTTTTTTCTTAGCTGTAGTTTCAATTCTGTAATTTGCTTCATACTCTGAATCTACTATTAAACTTTATGTACAGCTTCGATCAAATTCTTTTTCTATTTCTATGTTCATTAGAATAGTTTTGTTGTTAGATTTTGTTTTGTTAGTTTGATGTCAAGACTATTTTGTCACAAATACTTTACTGACCTAATATGTGCCTTTTAACAAATAAGTGCCAAATTAAATATTTAAATAGTAACTCCAGAATAATCTAGCAGATGTTTAACACTTGTAATTAAAGAGTATCATTGGAAACCATCAAAAAATTCATTTAATTTTCATCTTTACTCTGGCCCTCGCTTGTCTGGAGGACTTGCAGCATTTTATAATTAAAGAGTATAAGAACTGTAGGTGATGGTTATCTAAAACTCCAAATGTGGTAAATGTGGGAACCAGGGTGCATTTGGCATTTGACCAGTCATTTTTAGTCAGCATGATAGCCAAGCTCTGCTTCCAAACTGATGATTCTACTTGATAATTAACTATGATGTGTGAGAGAAAAAAGAACTAAAGAAGCTATAAAGTAACATTAAATTAGTGAAAAATTTCAGTGTGGGAGTCCATTCAGATGAAAGCATGCTAACCTTGAAAGAAAAGTAAGTAGTTCTAATAGAAACAATTATGGTTAGGTATTACAGTATTTTTTGGTTTTTGGTTGGACATTAACTTTGGAAATAAATTGTTAATTCGGAAAAAACTCACTCTTTCTTGTGAAACAGACTAACACAATGCTAAAGTTATAGTTTGTGATGAAAAATGATGTAGTGATTCATTCCAGTATTTAGAGAGGATTTTGTTTTTCATTAAAAAAATATTTTTGACAACCTTTTCAGTTTGTGGCTAAATGCAAGAGCCTTTAAAAAAATAGTCTCTCTCTTTAAAAGTTACATTACGTTAAGACTACAAATATTTTCAAGAATTAGAAATATGACTGTCTTAAGATTTTCTAAAACTCCCAGGACTTCTGGGGAATTTCCAATATTTGTGGGACATAAACTCTGTTGTATCTTAAAAGCGTTCACAAAATTTGAACAATCAATAAAACCGTGCTGTATAGTATAATCATATGGCAAACAAAAATGATGTAAGTGGAATTAAGTGAGGAATTTGTAAAAAGAATGACTGAAAAATCTTGTTAATTGTATAAGATTTTGCCTTGTGCTCATCCTTAAACACTACACATTTTTAAAACACTGTGCTTCACCAAGTCTTGTGCCCTCCCTTGTTATTTTTAGTATCTCTTCAAACCATAAATACAACCATATGTGAGGGTAAAGCTGTAGTGATGGTTTGGACGTGGTGTGCTTATTTTTATTTTTACCATTCATTTCCATATATAGCAAGTAACATGTATTTTTCATTGATGATTAGATTTTGCATATTTTTCAGTTGTGGGCTAGAGGTTTGAGGTGTACGATACTTTTTCTCTCATGCTTTTCAATGCCCATAATTTGAAACATGAATTTTTGAGACTCTGTCCAAGAATGCTTCTTTAAAAAATGATGGTTCTGGGAATTTTCGAAGCTGGCAGAAACACAGGTAAGCCGAAAATGACTACTTGGGGAAGAGTTTTCAGTTATTCACTGTGTAACCTTGAGCAAAATATATAATCTCTGAACCTTAGTTCCCCAACTATAAACAAAAACAGCAAACCATTCTTACAAGGTTGTTGTGATGGTTAAATGAGATATGAGTAAAATGCCCAGGACAGGCATAAACTAATGGTTGATTTCTCAAAAGAAATGAACAAAGAAAGAGAAAGGTCGTACAGCCAGAAAGAAAATC